CTTTTTTACTTTGCTTTAATTTATTTTTATTTTTATGTTGTGTTCCTTTATTTTTCTTTATTTCCCTTTATTTTGCTTCTTTATTTTGCTTAATTTTTGGTTTTATTTTGCCTTTTTTTTTCTCTTTGGGTCTCTTACTTTGCTATTTCACTTTTTTATTTTGCTTTGTTTTCTTTGTTTCACTTCATTTTTCTGCTTTATTTTCTTGCCCCATTTGGCTTTTTAATTCCCCTTTATTTTCCTGTATTTTGCTCTTTATCTTTATTCCACTTTATTAATTTGCTTTTCCTCTTTTTCTCCCGCTTCATTTCTCTTTTATTTTGCTTTATTTTGCCTTTTTTTTTTTAATTTTTATTTCATTTCTCTTTATTTCACTTTTTCATTTTTTTCCCTTTACCTTTTTTAATTTATTTCACTTTTTTCTTTTTTCTTTCCTTATTTCCCTTTTCCTTCCCTTTTCCCTGCTCTCTCCCTTCTTTCCTTATTTCCCTTTTCCTTCCCTTTTCCCTCCCTTCTCTCCCGTGGGATTTGCCAGTGGGGCCCTGGGGGGTTCAGATCCAGGTGGTGCCGGAGCCGATGGGAAGCACATCCCAGATTCCCTGGGTGTGCTCCGGGTCTGGAAGAGGCTCCCGTGACACCCCAACTTAACCAGGGACAACTTCTTGGCTTTGCATCCCGTCGGAATTCTGGCACATGGGACGCAGCGATCAATCCGTGGGGGAACAAATCCCAGGCTTTGGGATGCTCCAGGACCTCCCAACCCACATCCCAATCCCTGCAGCCCACCGGGAGCTGCTTCCCTGCCAGCAGGTTGCTCCAGCCTGGATTCTGGGAATACTCTGGGCCCATCCTGGAGCATCCCTGGTGGCATCTCCCATCGGCACCGCGGAGGCCAGGCTGGATTTTGAGGTTGGGAAGGACCTCGTTGCCTTCCTGAGCCATCCCAGGGGTTTTGGCGTGGACAAGGAATGGAACGGGATGCTGGGTAGGAAAAAGGCATCCAGGCGTTTGGAAGAGGATGGGAAGCCCTTGGAGGCTCCGTGCCTTGTCAGCGATCCTCGTTCCCGGGAATGTAGAACCGGCTCAGCCCGTGCCAGGAAACCTTTGCCCGCTTCCCTTGGAACTGGCCCCGCTGGCACATGGACGGGTCTCCAGGGCTGAGGGAGGAAGAGGCCTGGGCAGGAAGAGGAGGTGACATCTGTCCCTGTCCCCACCATTCCACCCACGGCCCTCAGATCCCGCTTCTCCATCTCCTCCTCTGGATCCGCAGCAAAGCCACCCTGGGGGGTTTGAACTTCCCCTCTTTTTCCCCCACTCCCGGGGGATAGAGGAGCCCGTTTCTAACCCCAGTTTGGGGGAAAGGCTGGATTTGGGTCTGAACCCCCTTCCCTCCCCCCCATGCTGGCGGTTGCCCAAGCAGGATGTTCCGGCAGGTGCTTCCCCCGGCTCCGCAGGTGGTTTTGGCAGCCGGAGAGCTCTTGCAAAACCGGGTTCCAGGAAGGTCAGGGCAGGGGAGGATCCCGCCCTGCCAGAAGGGTTGGAAGGGTTGGATCACCGCGGCCTCAGCACGTGGAGAAGCAAACGCTGCCACCTTCTCCTCCTGGATCATCCTTCCCTACAAACCCAAACCAGTCTGAGGTGGACGCGGCTGCTGCTTCCAAGGAATTTATTCCCTGGCCCATCTCAAGGGTTTGATGCCCCAGAGTGGCTCCTGCAGCATTTCCAGTCTGGATCCCGATCTCTGTGACCCCCTTGGATGGAGCCCATCTCACCTTTGATGTATCCCAGCCTGGGCCGGTTTTCCCAGCCCTGCTCCATGGTGGGAGGACCCGTCGGGCTGGGCAGACACGTCTGCTCTGGCGTGTCCCACTGCAGATGGCTCGGAGTTGTTGGCTTGGAGGAGTTTATGTTGGCTCAGTGGAAAGGGCAGGAGAATCACCGGCCTCTCATCCCAGTCCCTCCCGGGGCTGTGGCACCTCCCACTCCAGAGCTGCTTGGGAAGATCGTCAGGAGTCCAATCTCACCCTTCCTGACCCAAACTCTGTTTTCCCACATCATCCCTCCTTCCTTGCTTTGGCCTCATCCTGATTTTCCGTGTCCCCGTCTCCAGGGGTGCAGGTTGACCTTGCCCAGCCCATCCCAACAGCCAGGCAGTGCCAGACCCAGATCTGGAGCAGAGAATTCCATGGGGGGATTTTCCTCAGCTTGTGTGCAACCTCCTGGATGGGGGAATATATGGAGGGATGAATGGATGAGAGATGATGAGTGGATGGATAAATGGGAGATGATGGAGAGGTGGATGGTGCTGCCCAGGAAGTCCTGACCATCCGTGGGGAACCGTGGGAGCAGAGGGACACCTCAAAGCCCCCTTGGGTTTTGTTGCTTCTAAAAAGGGGCTTGGGAGCTGGGGGAGGAGGTCCCCGGGATCAGCATCGCCCTGTTTTCCACATTCATGTTCATCTGGGGCCAAATCCCGGGACAAGGACTGGCACTGGCATTCCCAGCCAGGCTGGGACTGCTCCAGAGGGGATTCCCAGCCCCAAGGCCCGTGGGCTCCAGGTTCCTGTTCCACATTCCGGAGTCAAGAGTGTTTATCCTCCCCTGCCAGGCCATGTGGGCAATGTCGGAGCATCCCGACCGTCTTCATCCCAAATTTTCTCCAACCCCTGCCTGCGGGAACACGTGGTGAAGGTGCAGGACAGGGCATGGACTCGGAGCCAGGCAGCGGTGAGGATTCCCAGCGGGATTTTCCTGCAAATCCAGCGTCAGTGCCGATCCTCGGCTCCCCTTTTCCCTGGACAAGCCGGGCTGGTGCACCTCCCGAGAATCTCCAGCCTCTCCCGGCCGTTATCCCGCTCCGGATCCCCGTTTCCCAGCAGAGGGGGATGCAGATCTCTGCCGGGGCTGCGGGAGAAGCCCCTGGAGCGGCCGCGGGCCGGTCCCGCTATCCCGGCTCCCGTTTGCCCACCAGGTGTGGCCGCGATTCCAGGCGCTCGCGCAGCTCCCGCCCCTCCGGAGGCTTCCCGGCCACGTGGGCAGGTGATGCCGATCCTATGGATCCCAGATGGCAGCCCGGGCGGGAGCGGCTCCGCTGGGATGAGCCCTCGGAGCGCGCCGAGGCTCGGGAAGCAGCCGGGATGGGAGCGGGAGGTGAGAAACCCCTCGGGAGCTCTGCTGCTCCGGGAGATTCCCTGCTTTGAGGATCCGAGGAAGCCGGAATGATTCTGCTGCCGCTCCAGGAGAGGGATGGGCCGGGCTTCCCGCTTCCCATCCTGCCCCGGGAATGCGCGGGGAGCGAATTGGGTTGTTTTCGGTTTGTTTGGATACTTTTCCCCTCGGGAAAAGCCTTTGGAGAGGCCCCCTGCCCTTCGCCCTGTCCTTTGTCCTGCCCTTGGGAAGGGCGGCTCCGGCTCCTCCTGGCCCGCTCCCGCCTTCCTTAAACCTGGAATGCGACAGGGAGATCCCTCTGTGGGTTTTTTGGCTCCCGGGAGAGCTTTTGGTTTCTCTCGGGCTCATTCCCCAGTTCCTCATACCAAAACTTCTCCCTTGGAGCGGCCCCCGCTGCGTTTCGGGAGCTGGTGAGACGGACCCCGGTGATCCTTAAAAACAGGGAATGCTCGGAATGAATTGCTTCTGGCACCTGCCGACGAGCTCTGGGATCAGACAGGGAGCGGCAGGAATCCCGCCGGAGTGGCTTCTCCAGCAGGGAACGGGTGGCCGGGCTCCCCCCCGGCCCAGAAATGCTTAAGCCGGGCTCAGTGCGCTCCTGGAAACCCAAACCCGGCCCGGGCAGGGAATTCCCGGCGCCTTCAAAGACTGGGAACAAACTCCCGGCTTGGCGCTTGTGCCACGTGTTATCACCCCGCGGCTGCTTTAAGATCCTGGAGTTTGGAATGCCGTGATTTGTAATCAGGTGTGGGTTTCGAGGATAAGCAAGCATCCTGGAGTTGGGAATGCCGTGATTTGTAATCCAGCGGGGATTTAGGGGATAAACAAACATCCTGGAACTGGGAATGTCATGATTTGGAATCAGGTGTGGTTTTAGGGGATAACCAGAGATCCCGGAGCTGGGAATGTCATGATTTGTAATCAGGTGTGGATTGGATCCTGGAGCTGGGAATGTCATGATTTGGAATCAGGTGTGGATTTAGGGGGTAACCAGAGCTCCCGGAGTTGGGAGTGCCAGGACTTGTCATCTGATGTGGATTTAGAGGATAAGCAGGTTCAGCTTCACGTCCCAGAGGGTGAGGGTTGAAATTCCGCCTGGGATGATGCCGGGGGTGCCCGGCAGGAAGCGGAGGTGCCGAGCACTGGGCAGTGGCGGATTTCGTGGCGCAGGGAGCAGAGGAGCGTGAAAAGCGGCTTGGAAAGCTCGGCCTGGCCGTGTCCCAGCCCCGCTCCCGAAAGCCGCTGGGATCCCGCCAGATTCCCTCCCGGGGCTCCTTCCCGTGACCGTCACGTGCGGCCGGAGGTGCCGGGGGTAGCGCCGGGTGTCCCGTTCCCGCAGCATCCCGGGCCGCGTGTCCCGGAGCCGCCAGGTCCAGCCGCCTTTGGGATGAGCCAGGGACGGCATCACCGGAATAACCCCCAGGATCACCTCCCCCTATCCCTTTTCCCTGTTTTTCTGGGATTTGCACACAGCAGGCTGCTGGGGAGCCGGTGACCTGGCTGGATCCCCTCTCCTTAACCCTTTTCCCTGTTTTTCTGGGATTTGCAGACACCAGCAGGCTGCTGGGGAGCCGCCGGCCGGGCTACGGGACGCTGCAGCCGGATCCATCCCACATGGTAGGTCTGGGGGATTCTTCAGGGGAAGGAAGGCTCAGGATGACACAAAACCCTCGTGCTTTC